AAAGAATTGTCTTTCAGTAAAAAGTGTGAATTTTTAAATTTTTAAGAAATTTAAAAAAAATACAATATAAAGCATAATAGCAAGAAAACACCGGAAATCCATTACAAACAACTACTGTCACTTATAAGTCCATTCCTTACTTAACAAAATATAATTTTTTTAGAACGGTGTTAACGTTATTTTTGGGAGTTGATTATATCAACGAGTCTATGTCAGTAGGCCAGGACAGGAAGTGCAACTGACAAACAGCCGCCAAAGAAAATGAGTTTTGCGAAATAGTTCCCCATTAAACTTACAATAAAGAAATTTTAGTTTTTGACAATATTGCCCACAATCACTCTGTATTCAGCTTAAGTCTGTCATTTTAATTTCCTCTAAAGCATCTTTCACCTAAATAATCATACCGAATTCTGATATGTATTCATACATTGTGCATGTATTCTAATTTTAAAACAGGAAAATCCCTATACTTACAACGCGTCTGCAATATGATGAGAAAAAATGATTGTTATTCTTTTGCTTCAGCATATTTAGATATTAGAACAATGAGCTTAGTAATCAGATGTACTATATTCAAAGTCAAATTGGAATACAGAGAACAAAACTTCATGTCTTGGCTAGTTGTTTTGTTTACAATACATATATATGTGTGCACCACTCAGCGGGCATTGTGTGCTTGTGAATCTCTTATATGTGTAAAGCTTTAGATAAGATCTCCCCACTGATGCAGAAGTGACCTACTGCATGGATTAATTTTACTTAATTTTAAATTTTTCTTCTCGCCTTTTACTTTTGTGTCCGGAATGATAGTAAATCAAAGTATACAGGATGATTTTTATATGCGTAATATATGAAGCTTGTTCATTTCTTTTGTTAATGGAAAGTTGTACAGTCATACAGTATAGTGAAAGTCAATTTGCGTGATAAGATGACTGTTTGACCAAGCACGATAAAGAGTGGAAACAGATTATTGCACATTGTTGGCCCATTGAGTATTTTAAGGACGTGGATATATGTTGAGGTATCCAATTTCCCTCTAACACAAATCTGTGTAATTAGTGCATACACATTTTGAGACAAAAAGCCAAATACACACGTATATTATGCTTTGTGGTTTAACAAATATCTCGCTGCAAATTTAGTGATATTTCACGGAAATCGGTCTCAAAAATATAAAATGTTAAATTTAAAAAAAGAATTATACCAGGCAAAAAGCCATAATTAATCTGTCACAATCGAACGAGTTCTATTAATTATGAAATACAACAATCTGTTACAAAACATACTGCATGAACTCTACTTATATTTACATTTTTGAACATCATTGAACTTATTTAATTGTATGTAATTGAAATTTTGGGGTTTTAGCCATTTACTAAAAATACATATCCAGCAGGCATTTCAACGTTGATTCAACGTTGAATCAACGTTGCACTTCAACGTTGAATCAACGTTGAATTTTGGTTGCATATGAAAGTTGAGGCAACTTTGAAACATAACGTTGTTTCAACGTCAATTTTCAACGTTGAATCAACGTTGAAAATAGGTTGAATTTTTGGTTGATTTATGGTTGGTGTTTGGTTGCAAATGAAAGCTGATGCAACGTTGAAGCTTCAACGTTGTTTCAACGTCAAATATCAACATTGAACAAAAGTGAACATTGGTTGTAATTACGTTGAAATTTGGTTGAAATTTATTGGTTGTACAAACGTTGATTTTTGGTTGAAATCACGTTGAATTCATATTACATGTGAACGTTTTATTTTATAAATAAATAAATTTCAAATTCTAATAATTTTTTGCTTATTCAAGTTGCGTAATATTTATATAAGTTATAATCCAGTATTACGATTGTGAGAGAAGTCATTTAGTTTGTATTTTAAAGACAAACACAAATTTGGATTCAATCACTGAATCTCAAAAATCACTACTTGACAAAATTTATATTCCTAGTGAAAAGGGGGTCACAGTTATCACATCAAGGTTCTTCAGAGTACTCGTCTGTCTTACACTACTAAGTTCCACAAAGTGGCGGATCCATTGATTTTAATCACGCATATACATCTGTAGTTAAGTCCCGCGAATGAAAGAAATGAACATCCCAGCTAACATAAAAACATTTTTAAAATGTTTTTAAAACATTTTCAAAATGTTGCGAAAACATTTTTAAAAATGTTTTAATCACGTGATTTTGTATGGTTTTTTAAACGTTTTTAAAACATTTTAGTGAAATATTTCAGCAAAATGTTGTCAGAACATTTTCTTAAAATGTTGCAAAAACATTTTCAATAATGTTTTAATCACGTGAATTTGTATGTTTTTTTAAACGTTTTTAAAACATTTTAGTGAAATATTTCAGCAAATGTTTCTGGAACATTTTCTTAAAATGTTACGAAAACACTTTTTGAACAATGTTGTAATCGCGTGATTTTGTATGGTTTTTTAAATGTTTTTAAAACATTTTACAAAATATTTCAACAAATGTTATCATAACATTGTTATAAAATATAACAAAAAATTTTCAAAAATGTTTTTTTTTTCACGTTTAATTTGTTTGGTTTTTAAAACGTTTTCAAAACATTCACTTCGAGGTTACAAAAGTATTTTTACTGAAATTTTACTTTTCTCATTAAATAATGATGTATTTATATTTTAAAAGAAATAAACACAAATTATATTTAATTTTTTAACCTTTAATACAAAACCATATTCAATATGTTAATCACATTTAAATTCCATTCTCGGTATAAGTTTTTATTTATTTTCTTTCAAGTCACCGGGTTTTTAAAGGGTGAAAACGGCGTCTAATCCATTCACTGAATTTTAAAAGAACAGAATCACAGAAATCCTATGTTCACAGTATAGGTCGAATAGAGCGGCGGATCTATAAGACTTAGTTAGAATCACATACACAGAAAAGGCTGATAAGGAATCCGCCCCTCGGAACGAATAGCACAACCTGTAAAAATAAGGAAAGTTGTGTTTGTATCAGCGTTCTACATCTAATGTATCTTAAGATGATCAATGAAAATATACAAAAAATATTTTAAATAATTATATCAAATTTAAGTTCTTTCCTCATTTGCATTGAAAAAAGCAAAAAAATAATTACTATGACTATATTACTGAAGAGTAATAGTATTTACGTACACCTTTGCCTTCATCAAAGGCGGGTCTTTTGAATGGGGGAATTTGAAAATACGGATGATGCAATCAACACCATGCTGTAAAGAAATTCCATTTTTAAATCAACATATTGTTTGATGATTTTAAAACATTCCACAAAGACAACGAATACTTGAATCAAGGATATAATTGCGTTGACTTAAGAATGAAATATTCAAATCAAATACATGTGTATAATCTTAACGCTTTGTCATTTCTTAATGCTAAACATACATCTGTACAAAATTATTGATCATGCACTGGTAGTATAAAAGTCATTTTTAAATGATCTTTTAAAGTCTATGATAAAGAAATAATTCTTACCATTCAAAGTTAATAAATCCCGAGGTTATTATTGTTTTTTTATGGTGCAAAGTCTTCTCATTTAAATTGGCACGGAGTAAGCGCGCACATCTTGTTTACCAGAATTCAAAATTTGGCCTAGATAAGCTGCAAACCACTATCCTCTGTAACGCGCTGCCCAGCAGGAAAATTGCATAATAGGTTATCATGACACTGAAACTGACCAGTGTGCCAATCCCTATCTAATGCCTCACAGTAAAATGCTGGGAGTGGATCACAGATTTGATTAAGAACATTTTTAAAAAATACATTAAGAGTTTTATCAAATGCTTATGATTTTTTACATTTATTTATATTTTAAATTTTGTGTTTGCCTATCCTTTCATTTATTGATTTTTTGATTTGTTTTAATTATAAGGACTTTATATATGTCTGTTTAATCAATAAGCCAAAACTAGAAATCATTATAAAATACCGGAAAAAATCAATTAAAAAATTACTACAATTACTCATTTCAACACCATTCGTTCTATATTCTCTTTTTTTTCTTCATAAACTAAATTTTAGGAAAATCGCAATCATACATTATTTGAATGTTTTAAGAACATTTTGAAAATAACATTAAAAAATGTAGCAATCTCAATGAAAAATGAAATGTTGCAGCAATGAAAAATGAAGTCTTTAAAAAAGGAAAACACATTAAATTGAATGTTCTAAAATTATTCTCATAACATACTCTTAAAATTTATAAATGAATTTAAATTGTGCCGCAATTACATAAATGTTTCAGAAACATTTTGAAAATGTTTCCAAAAAATGTTACAAAAACTATAAATGTTTCAATTGTAGTGAAAATAATTATTTTAGTTAATGTTTTAAATAAACATTTTCACTGCCTAGGCCGAAAAATATCCGGAATTTAATGTTTATAACTAACAGCGATATTAAGTATGTTTTAAAAATATTTTAAAAATGTTCCTTACAATTTCTTCAGAAACGTTTAGGCAATGTTTCCGTTTTACAGAAAAAGAATGTTTCATTTCATGCTTTAAGAACGTTTTTAAAACGTTTTATAAGATCTTTAATATTTGGAAGCTATACATACCCTCAGGATAATTTTAAGAAAAATGTTCCTTAAATGAATTAAGAATGTTTCAAAAACATTTTGACAACGTTCCTTCCAAATGTTTCAGAAACGTATTCATGCAATGTTTCAGATTTATAGAAAAGGAATGTTTCATTTCATGTTTTTAGAACGTTTTTAAAACGTAATATAAAAATCTTTGATATTTGAAAGCTAAACATACCTTTTGAAACATTTTAAAAACGTTTCAAAAATATTTTATAAAAATGTTCCAAAAGGATTTAATCATAAGCTTCTTGAAAACATTTTAAAAATGTTTTTAAAATGTTATAAAGAGAAGAGAAAATGTTTTAAAAATGTTTTTAAAATGTTTAGTCTGAAATGTTTCGAAAAAACCTTTTTACAACACCAATAAAATGTTTTGAAAATGTTTTGTGCTACCTGGGATGAGAATCCATCCTCTAGAGCAACAGCCTATTAATAAAAGAAATAAAGATGTGAAAGAAATTTCTTCGATACAACGTACGCAACAGGTTATTTCAAACGATAAAAATAAATATACATGAATAGTTAAAAAAATCAGACAAAGGAATATTTTCCGGTACTTGGATTTAATTAACATGATTAAAAAGAATAATAGTTAACTTCATATTAAAATTTGTATTAGTATGCTTATAAATAATTATTACTTAAAAAATGTTATAGACATAGTGTACTTACAAAATGTTGCATTCCTTTGTATAATTTTCACGGGCGAAGAATCTGATGCAATCAAGGCTGACTATATACAATCAATTCCCTCACCACTGGTTGATTGAACCATACGATGAACTAAAATCATAATTGTATAATATATTAGTATACTTATATTTCATAACCAAATGACTATCAACAATACACATAATACACGGACAAAGGATGTGCATTTCACATATACTTATAAAACAAGGATTAAAAGATGTACAGATACTAAATAAACTTAATTTCTTAAATCCATGAAAAGGAAATAATACTTACTGAGCAGAAGTTGATATTCCAGCCTTAATCCTTGTGTATGTATCTTGAAAACACATTCAATATGAACAGCGCGCACTTCTTGTCCATCAGTTGAATTCAAATTTTGAACTAGATAAGCTGCAGCTATACTCTGCCCAGCAAGAAAATTGCATAACAAGGTTATCCTGACACTGAAACTGACCAACTAAGCGAGAGGCACTCCTTATCTGATATCTCGAAGGTTTTTGGGGAGTGGATCTTAGTAATGCTATTTGACCGGGGTTAATTGTCAGTGTGAAAATTGTTGTGTTTATTTGAATTTTTGTTTTATGTATTTTGTGAAATGAAAGATTATAGAATTAATACACACAACAAAAGCACAATCTGATAAAATATGACTTCTTAGATTCGCTCTGTATAACATTTTGCGCAAGAGTATACGGCACGGGTCTATATGAGTCTAATTTTAATTTTAATTCGGAATAAATACTTATTTTTATTAATTCTAAAGTAACATGGAATTACAGTGAGATGTTGGATAAAGATGCCATTATTTATTTAATGCTTATATTTAACATATTTTATAAATATGTATAACTACATTCACAATTTATTAAATTTCACAATGGTAATAGCTGAACTGGCACAACTCTTTTGAGTAAATCAATTCACAATGCATGTGTTTCATTTATTGTGTATAATTATATATATAATATTTTCTAACAATGCATACAACCGTGTGTATCTTGCGAAAAATCGCATAAATTAAGAGTTAAAGAACCTTTATATTTTGACCTTAAAAACTAAAATGCTCAATACTCAGTCATTACCCGCTCTTTTCTTAACTTTCCTAAATTTGAAAATATGTTGAATCTTCCACGTTGTTTCAACGTTGAAATCAACAAACAGTCAACTTTGCATTTCTAAACCTTGTTTCAATTCTATAATATCAGAAAATACTCAACGTTGAAAACATGTTGAATCTTCAACGTTGTTTCAACATTGAAATAACAACGAACATCAAAAGTTGAGAATTTGTTGCAGCTTCAACGTTGTTTCAAGGTTGAATATCGACAAGCATTCAACGTTGAAAATATGTTGCAGCTTCAACGTTGTTTCAACGTTGAAATATCGACGAACATTCAACGTTGAAAACATGTTAGAGCTTCAACGTTGTTTCAACGTTGAAAAAAGGTTGAGGATTCAACGTTGAAACCTCAACGTTGAAACAACGTTGAAATATAGTTAATCAACTTTGCAACCTATATTCCACCTCCTTTCAACGTTGAAGCAACGTTGCGTGCCTGCTGGGTACATTGTATACTAGTGTATTATAAAAAGATATTAAAAAGCAACCTAGCTATTAAACTTTTTTTTCAGAATTTACTTCTGCTCAATCTGTGAAAAAAAAATCAACTGGTTTTTTTAAAACTCAATACCAGCTGGTGTGTAAAAATCTGCAACTTATTTAGAAATTTTAATGTAATTTCTGAATTGGATAGATTAACCCTACATTTGGACATTATACTATCGATGATAAATTGTTGGTATGGGCTTGAATAGTCTTTTCCTATTTTAGAGATGAAAATTGTGAACCAAAATCTATATCTGTGAAATATCTTCAAAGTAAAGCTCCATTTATTTTCTCATCACCAATTTAGATTGTATTTGTTATTTTACTACAATTAAATTTCATTCTATCGAGAAAAGCTGTCCACTTCGATTGTGATGACGTAATCGTTTGATGATATTTTTATCAAGTTATGTCAACATTTATCCATATTAGTACTGCATGCCCCCATGCCCAAATTAAGATAATATCATTTTCCCCAAAGGGTGCGTTATTAATTTTATCTAAAATTTGTCTTGAAATTTATTTTTATCCTAAAACATCTTTTTATCTTAGATACTGAAAACGGATCATCTAACAAGATTTCTCATATCATTCAAGTTATTTTCTTATTACTGTAGATCACTAAATTTGCGACACCTTATTTTCGCTAGATAGTCATTACATGTAAGTATTTATTAGCGTGACAAAATTTGTTACGAATTGTGGTTATTGTTCTATAAAATTGTAAAGAATACTTATATATGTGCAAGAAAGAAATTTTTGCGTTCACGCTGTCTCGCTTAGTTACGCGAAAATAAAGTTCTCGTGAATTAAAAGTGATTTAAAGTAGAACAAACCATACCGCTTTGACTCTGTAGGATCACGAAATCCTCTTATGCATTTGCTTCTCACATACCTCAATCAAGAAGCATCAATATAATTATAATTTGAAAAGTGGGCAAGGATACATACATCGAATTCAGGTTCAAATCCCACCAAAAGACTTGGAGACCGGTATTTCGTATAAGACCGTATAGACCAAGGTCCCGGGTCGCAGTAGGTGCTGGCTCGAAAAAGATCCCTCTCTCTCAATGGGTGCTGAGTATAAGTAAAAGAAAAATTGCAGCTCTCCACCGGCATGCCAGTGGTGGAATCTCCATATGAGTTACAAATTCTCGAGAGGGACGTTTCACACTATACAATCAATCAATCATACATCGAATTAACTTAATAATCAACTCCCATCAGTACTTTCAGTACTTTGATTTAAGATATAAAATGGTACAGAGAATTTGGATTAATTTGTCGATTCAACTTTTGGCTCCTTTTTGTAAATTATAGTTTTAAAAAAAATCAAAAGTAAACACGCCTATAAACCTCATTATTTTGAAATATTATATTAATATATAATAAACTTTATAACTTAATAAAATAGACAAAATTATGTGTAACTATACATGTACCAACCAAAAAGTCAGGAAAAATCACTATTATAATAATTATTGACGTTATCATCATGCATACCATGTGCCCTCACTGCATCATTTAATTTCTTCATTTAAATAGATAAACTTATTGTATTTGTTAACTTAGTTATGTTCATTAGAAAAAGATACATACAAATTCAAATGTCTAAAATCACATTGGAATGGTAATAAAATACAGTAAAGTTTTTTTTAACACTTCTTATAATGCTTGCTACATGTATTTCAATTTTTGTGCTACTGACAAGTATGCAAAAAATAATATAATAGCTTCATTTATGACCTTTTTTTTTCTTTTTCAATAAAATAATTGAATTTAATTGTGTTTCACTAAATCATGAAATAGTAATTCATGATTTATTAAAAAATGGTTGCTATGACAGCCAATAGTTTAGGAAAATCCCTTTCATTGATTTTTTTTTTTTTTTCAATTTATAAAATGTATTGCCTTATTGCTGGCTTACATGTCTTCTTCAATAGAAAAAAAACAGAAATGATCCAAAAAATTATTGATACCAGTATATACAACCCATAGCATGATAGCACTGCCACCAGTGTTGAATATACTTCTAAATACTGTAATTTATTTACCCGGACAAAAACAGATGAATTCAAACTTAAACTGATCACATATACCTGAATTACTGCAGCAGGTTTTCTTTCCATGGAAAAATTAAATACCTACATAAAAGCATGGCATATCCTTTTGAAGGCATTTCCTTTATTAATTGAAGAATATACATATGTTTTAACACATATATGCATTTTTTAGTGTAAGTAGGACATGCACATAGTCAAGAGTGCCCCCCTTCTTGATTCAACTTGTTTCTGCTGTTGTTAAAATGATCCTTTGCTGTTCCTTTACCAGGGCATTATCATATCACCGCTACGAAGGATAGAGGGTATTCTTATTTACTTGTGTGTCTGTCCGTCTGTCTGGCTGCGTGTGTGTCTGTAAGTAACAGGTTTTTGGTCGCAGTTTTTTCATCAACTATCCATTGGATATGCTTGAAGTTCTAGCACAATATTTACTAAGGTCTGTCATATGGTAGGTAATATTTGAGTTTAAATCTTATGTCAACTTCCTGTTTATCCGTGTATCTGTTCGTACCATAAATAACAAACTTTCGTTAAAATTTATATATATCAACATGATAGTCTCTATTATTTCACATCGAAGCGGGGGTATTACAATGTACCAGTGAGCATAGACTTCTTGTTTAATAAATGGTTTGTTGCAGGCTTTTTAATAACAAAACCTTCTTTATTGTTGCAGTAGCATATTAATAGTGTAAAACCCTGTCAGGCAGATGATTAAAAAAAATCTTGTTAAAAAGATGAATTTAAACATATTTTCCATATTATACTTTCCCCCTGAAAGAATATGGTATATAGTATATCCCTCAAATTTTGCCAATAAAAATTTGTTAATGGAATAAATTATTTGAAATGTGGCTCATTTTCCGTTCTTCCTTCCATCATTTTACATTTTAGCTCAAGTACAAAGAAACTTTTGAAGAGATCAGTGTTAATCATACACATTAAGAAAGACAATCAAAACTAAATATGTAATTTTAAGGTTTTGTGAGTTTGTTCTTCTCCATTTTGGCACGGAGGTTAAAATAAGTATTAACCGAGGAAAATTGAAAATAGATGCATAACTTATTATACAAACCACCGCACTAATTACAGTTAGATTACCATAAATAAAAATTGTAACCACCTCATTAAGATATTTTTGTTCAAGTTAAATAACTCATTTTTATCAAAAAGCATTTGATTTCTCATTTAATTTCCAGAACATTAGTCTAAGATAAATGGAATCCTGAGACGTCCTCAGAAAACATGACTAAATCAAATATAATATATGTCTTTCTCAGCTAAAATTTGGAGACATAAATCTATGATTTCAAGAACGACCAACTTACATATCCTCAATATCTCTATCTTCGTAAAAGGAACTCCTCTCCTCCTGAAAGTTGACAGATTTCCCTATAGACCTTAATTTGCTCCTTCATATATTGTTTCAATAAAATGTACACGGTGTATTATAAATTAGGCTTAAACTCAGCTGTCACAGTGTTTTGTTGTGACAAAAATCTTAATTAAATAGTTACTTTTTTTTCTTTTCTGCAATAATATAATCTGATAAGAAATATATTTCTAAGTACTTTCAATTTTTTGTAATAAGTTCCTAAATGAAAGGGCACATGTCACCCATAATCATCCCCATTCCAAAAAAATTGCATCGACGAATTTCAGCCCTGACGTTACTTTGTTTTTAAATACCTTATTTAATGATGCAGCACTTGTTGTCACAAAGGCAGGAATTTCGTAGGATGCAATTCATTATCACCTCAAACACAGTAAAGCCTGATCAAATGTTAAATAGTTTGGATATGGGTGATGTAAAATACCAGAAATATGTTTTCAGAAACCCTGATAATGTCCAAACCAGACAGGATTTACTCCTCAAAGTCGTTCTCTGCTGTGTGTACACTTTCACTTTCATTGATATAAGCAAAAGATTTCCTAAAGGGGAAATAATTCTTCACAAACTTTACAATCAATTTATTTTCTTAAAGTAAATAATACCTCTGCAGTTTTTAATATATTCTTCATAATGTTTAAAGTAAAATTCATAGCATCAGAATATTTGACCAGTGCCTGCTTATTTGTGCACATTGTTATGTTCACCCCCTTCTTTAAAAGCATTTTTATTTTATTATTGGGCATTTACATGTAACGACTGGTCCAAATTATTTTTTTTTCAACTGCCTTGCATAAAAATACACAAATTCTTTTAATGGAAAAAAATAAAAATCAGCTGTATGAATTAAATACACGTTAATTGGATTGATTGATTGATTGTATATTGTTTAACGTCCCTCTTGAGAATTTTTCACTCATATGGAGACGTCACCGATGCCGGTGAAGGGCTTCCTATACTCGGCACTCAGGGCCACTGAACAGTGAGGGTTCTTTATCGTGCCAACGCCTACCGTGACACGGGACCTACGTTTTTAAGTTCATATCCGAAAGACCCGTGACTTTCACTTCTAGTGCCGAGCGATTGGCGAAGGAACAGTCACTACCTATGGTTACGTCTTAGGTATGATGCGGCGCCGCGATCGAGAATCGAACCCGAGCCTCCCGATCACGAAGCGAACGCTCTACCACTAGGCTACCGTGACCGGTCACGTTAATTGGAAGAAATGTAAGATAGTTTCCATCTATGTGGAAAAACAGGAAACCTGGTTGCCAGGGGAACAGGACCAATCTATTACTTTCAATAGTATTTTTTTGTAACTCGGGCTTATAACGTAATTATTTAACCAAGTTTCAACAAAAACCGCGAGAATCAATTTCCAGCCCGTTTTGATGCTTATGGTTTTAAAGGTAAACTGGTATATAAACTGTTTAGATTTTGAGAATTTTAAACAAATGAAGATATTTTGAGATTTTATTTTTCTGAAATGCGTGAACAGATTCCACATCAATAGTTAATGATTTCTGATAAAGATTTCAAATATTCTCTGGGCAAATGAATATTTATGATTTCATAAGTTTGATTTCTTGAATAGCTAAGTAAATTATTATATCACACTTACTAAAGTTCCATTTTAGCTATTGAATTATAAAAGGTATGTACTCTGAGACATGATGTATGCAAATTAACCTGCAAGGATATGTCTTTAATGGATGTTTTGGTCAGATTATGACTTATTCAAAGTATTCCAATTAAAAACTAACAGTCTGATTGAAAATTCAGAAGGTACGGACATACCTTCACAACAATTTTCATTTATTATTTATTTAGATTTATTTCTTTTATACTAATTAAAATGTTAATATATTACAAAATCAAAATATTAACTATCAAACAATGATTTTTTTTTTACTTTAAAGGGTTTTTTTCAGTATTCTCGTTCCTATGCAGTGGCTAAATTTAATTGAATGTATACTGTTTAACTTCCCTTTTCACTCATATGGAGACGCAGCCACTTGCCGATGGGCAGCTGCAGCTTTTCCTATGCTCGGCATTCAGAGTCATTGAGCAGGGAGGGATCTTTTTCGTATCAGCACTTTTTGCGACACGGGATGTTGGTTTATACCGTTTCATCCAGAGGACCTGTCTCCACATACCAAGGGGGGATTGAATCCCGCAAGGTAAGGATCAATTCTTTACTTTTTCGACTCTAAAGCAGACGCTCTAACCACTGCGCCACACCGGCGACTGGCTACGGTAATAAATTAAGATAAATACCATGATTATATGATGAGGGATCACATCTAAATTATGAATATTTATTCATGTGATACATTAACAAAGAAACAAGGGTGGTTTGTTTTAAATATATGATTAAAAAAACTTTTATTTAAAAACAATAACTATTGTGTTTTTAGTTTTAAAGGATAAAAAACAATGTTTGCTCTCTGTGTACGTAAGATACAAGGACATTCATTTTTGGTGAAATTCACACATCCCAAAGAAAGGCGACGAATAGAAGGATAATAACTGTTCTCATATTGCAGACAGGCAACCTGAATACAAACAAGAGAGAAGAAATGTCAGAAAAATATCATAATGACTAATTTGAAAATAAGTCTCTTTAAAACGTTGGCATTAGCACATAAATCGTTTGAATTTAACTTACCTTTGAATTCTGTTTTTGCTGATTAGGTCTTTGTTATTTTCTGTGGTCATAGTTGAATCAGATGCTTCATTTTGAAGAACTGCCTGATGGACCAATTTATAACACCCCTGATCTGTTAATATTAATCAGTCCAATCTTATTTATTCTCCTCTAGTTGTATTTTGATGTACCTTTATGTTCCAACATTTTAAAACCAGGTTACATAACAATCTAAATTTAAACTCTGAATTAATGTAAAGACTCTAAATATACTAATAAAATAATAAAAAAAAAATGCATTACATATTTACATAATTTCTGCTCTATATAATGTGTCTTTAGATTGTAGAGAATACAAAACACGATACATGGTACATGTATTCACTTTTTCCTTTTCCTTAATGATCAAATGTTTATATTGGTTATCAAATTTGAAGTTTTGTCTAAGAACAATTTTTATTTTTAACAGAAAAATAACCTTTTTTTCAGTGTATCATAACAAGCATGCTATTATCTGATAATTGATCAATCTATATTTTACGTGCACGGTCATATGCATGTTTTTTACTTTTAACAAAATATTGAGTAGACTTTATATTTCTTAACACTTTATTTTCCAGTATTCAATGTTCAAACTAGTTTACCTTGTATTCCTTTATTGATAGAAAACCTTATGGATATATCAATAAGTATATTTTATGAACCTCTGTCCACCTTCTTCTGTTCATTTTACGCAAAATTCTTAGTCCTGGAATAATGTATAACACTACGGAACATGCATGCCTTTTTTCCATTACGAAATTAAATGAAATCCTTAATTTTTGCTCACCCATTTTTGTTTTGTAACAAGTGAACATAACAAACGGCATTAATTTTAAACTTACTTCTTATACCGTGGAGTCTGTAATAACAAGTAAGGAAACTGACATTTGTATTTCAATGATAAGCAATAATTTGAGAAGCAATTGTTTTTCTTCAAATTTTACAAAAATACGTACATTTATAAGCTAACGTTGAGGGATACTTGAAGGGACACGGTTTAGAAAAGTTTCTACAATCCGTATCGTAATTCGGCTGTACTCTGTTTCCTTTCATATTAAATTCAGCACAATGATAATCTGAAGAGAGAAAAGGAGATTAACAAAAACATGGACATCCAATGAACAATTATTTGTTTATATTAAGACTAAGTAACGATAAGAACACTTGATTTTTTTCTCATTTCTTTAGAAAGTATTGAAATAAAATTATGTTGACAAACTTATTTTCATCTTTTTAAAAAGAAATATGAAGAGAAGGTATGCGTATAAATATATGACAATATACCAAATATATCGATATTTTAATTCAATGTGTAACTACAGTGTAAGCTGAATATTATAATGTGTACTTGCAAATACTTCGCATGAAATAAAATAATGCGATTTAACCACTCAACGTTAAATCCGTTGATCAAAGTACCATCGAGCTTTTTATTATTTTGGTATTAGGAGGTATCCTTCCTGTCCTGGCCTTGTATTAACGTCATCCTGTTCTCAGGGTTTTCGGGGTATTAGCCAAAACCATGCACTAAAACCAGTGACGTCGATCGCAAAAAATCAATTAAGTTACTTCAAAATTTCAACCCCTCCCAACCACACCCCTTAATAAAGTAATATGTTAATGGAAACTATTTGCTGCTTTCTTGTGTTTTGTTGTTTTCTTTTTCAGACAATATAAGCATTAATCCATATTCACAGCAAGGTCCCGTCCTAACCGTCACGGCTGGAACCACATTCTTTCTGGAGGAACAAATTGCCCAAGCGGATATTTGGCTCACCAGTAGTGCCTAACCTTGATTCTTAATATATGACTTGGTGCACAATTAATTGAATTTTGCCATTATTGTCCAAGCAGGCGAGCGTCTGTTCCCAGGGCTCTCCATTATGCTTGTTTATTTGTGGGGACGCCACCAAGGCAAGAATTGATGCTTGGCGCCCTTATTTGTTTCAATGCAGCCGTGACCTATATCGCCAAATAAATATAAATAATTAAACAGAAGTTTTCTGTTATCTTTGCTATAAAGACCCAAAGTAAGGGCATCTTTTGATAAATACGTAATAAAGAAAGCAGCAGACCCCAACACCAGCCTTATATTAGTAACTATGGCCCTATTTTTTAAATGAATAGATTTTTAGTATACTGTAAAAATACAGATTTTAAAGGAATCAAATTTCCATGGTTTGATTAAAATATATGAGGGATTTGATTTTGTGGTTGAGGATTCGTTCAGTAGTTATATATTTTGAAAAATTGCATTTTGTGGTGAACATAATTCGCAGGTCTCTTCTTTTAAGCTTCTTTCTTTGTGAAAGTGTGCAAATATGAAATATGTATATACCTAGAATATTATCCGGTGCTGCACAAACGGAGTACATTCGGTTCTGCCATGTGTTGATCAGACAGTGATATAACAGATTATATTTGAAACATGGCAGAACTATATTTGAACATTTTTTTTTTTTCTCCTTGCTTGTAGCTCCCAATCATACTTAGTACGAGGGCACCAGTCAACCTGTTCTATACTTGCTGCTAAACAGGATCCTGAACCCAATATCTATCACAAACAGAAATAAAAAAAACATTTTAAATTGGAAGTTGCTTTTACTGAAAAAATTCAATATTTTGAAGGCATATACATGTATTAAATACATTTCACGAACGGAACAAACTTTTTCCCTTTTTGTGTGAATTGCAATTAAAATTGTTAAGTAAACACATCTATATATAAAATGACTCATGCCAATTGACCAAAATTATAATCAATGCAATGTCTCCCTTAAAGTTCCTTCTATCTATTGATATGTTGAAAATGAAATAGTTACTTAGAGTCATTGACTCAAACAGACCCCGACGGGGTTTCACTAAACACTAAAACCAGCTAGACTGTTCTGATTAGGCTGTCCGTAAAATTAAAAAAAATGTTCAAACTGTTTTAATCTCTATGAACTATCTAGATATGACGTCATAATAGAATATGGCATCAAATCACTGCATACTTTGGCTAACATGAAGGGGAAAGTGTCATAAATTTTCCAATTCCTTTCACATTGCATGTAGACTTTTTCGGGTGTTGCTGTTTAATTCACGGGTCGGGATTGTTTTTAAGCGCCATTGTGCTGTTATTATGTTGGACATTTGAAATTTACATATCTCTCTTCCTTTCACTTGTCCAATGTGCACATTTAAACAAAAGCGACTAATTGAATATGAAAAATTACCTTAAACTTTACGCACCCATAACCAGAGATAGAATCTATAAACACATCTATAAAATATATCTGGTAACATTCGACTGGCACTAGTGATTAAAAAGGATACTTTGGCACTGTGAAAACTTTGATTTACTATAATGAACACTTTGACACTTTGATACATGTATTCTATAGTGAAAATTATGACACTTCATTTACTATAGTGATAACTATGAAAACTTTGAATTTATGTCGTGATCACTATGGAAACTTTGTTAATATGGTGATAACTTTGAAAATTTTGATTTATTATTGTAGTATAACTTTGACATTATTTTGATCACTTTGAAAACTTTGTTTAACTATAGTGAACACTTTGACACTATAGTAGATACTTGAATGCTTTGATATACTATAGTGATAACTTTAACACTTCGATTTACTAAGTTCCACTAAAGTTATCTAAAGTAAACTTTAGTTAATTATAGTATTGTTGTTAGGGTTGCATTAACCAGGACTGTTCGGAAATTATTGAGACATTCTGTATATTTTTTTTTATTGAACGTCTTTTAATAAAACTTTGCATAAACGTTTGACAAACATTAAGGATTCATAAAAGAAAAGATTTATATTACAAATTTTTAATTTCTTCTCAACAGTGGTTTATAATGTGTTGATGATGGGGGTTCTCGGTGCAGTCACGAAGTCAGGTTTTGAAAATAACAAACATCACTGTTCAAACCATCGATAGACCCAAAAGAGAAAATAGTTCACTGTAAGTATATAATGTTTCCATTTTATTTTGACTTTATAGTATTGAAGTTTATTAGAATTCTTATAAGAAATTATGAGATCATTAAAAGATTAAGACGGTAAAGAAATCAGAAAACGACCACAAAATTGATTTTGACATCAGTTCGGAGCAGAGAGGGACCTAAAAATTTTTGTAGTGCTATGCAGGATTTTATTTACCTAACTTCCAACATGTTAAACAATAATAACCAGGATTAGATATGTCGAATGGTATCTTTTTTTCATTGGTATATATTTTTCGAACCAATAATTCAACCAGAATAATATCAAAATTTCGATACAGCCATCATTCTATTTTTACTGTATCGTAATTAATAATGTTTAGCTGCGATGAATAAATCGGCATTGCATGATGCTGAATATATGACACTTGAACATTTTACATTTTAGTGTATCAACAACACACATTTTTAAAGAAAAGTAATGGTTTAAAGAAATCTGTTTAATTTTTGTTATGCCACACATGATAATAATAAAAGAAGAGTATACGCTTCAAGATCGTTTTACATGCATTTTCGGCTGACGTGACGTTAAAATGACGTAGTGATGATGTTCCAGGTCGACAGACATATGCAGGTTTATCATTTCACCGGCAAGTATCTGACTATCCTCTTAATTTGAAATGTTGCATAATTGTTTAATTTGTCTTTATAAAATGTTGATGATTTTTTAAAAACTATCTCTGCTCTTATATATCTTAATAACAGCCCTCGTATTTCATTTTTTATGACCCTATAGGTCGGGTGCATGCAGTTGTAATTTTCATTGCACAAAAGTACACAAAGGTTTTTTTTTTCTATTACACTCACACTGGTTCTCAAATACTTGTATTTTTTTAGCATGAAAATGACAGAACAAATAAATATTATCAATTTTTAAATATAACAATTCAGGATGCTGTAAAAGTTTAATAAGTCCTCAAAGTAACCCTTTATTTAACAATAAAACTCAAAGTAACCCTTTTAGTTTTGCTATTTGACGATTAAAAATTGCAATTGAAATGGAACAAGAACCTTTCATAAAAAGATTCAATTTAACCATCTTGGTTACATTTCTTTCTAGTTAAAATTGAAAATTCCAAAATAAATATAAATCTACATAAATGTCACTATGATATGATATTTTACTGTAGATTTAGTTCTGTATGTAACTAATGCAAGATAGATTAACATAAAAGAAAGCAAATATTAGTAATTGGTTGAAATTACGTTACCTTGGCATGCCCTGCGTGTAGACTTATTCCAAACAGGCAAATGACAGCACAGTGGATCCATAGTTGCATAGCACTAATACTCTGAGTTGAAAATAAATAAAAGTAGTTTTCTTGGTATTATTACGTGCATTATATTTTTTAATCAATGTAAGCATTTGCTCTTCGGTCATTTATATTGAAAGGTTTTTGTACACATTTCATTTCCGAGCGACATCTCAAGACTTTTGAGCTTTTGCAATGAAATTTTATATCAAAATTCCCTATGCTCCCACCCACCTTTCTTTAAATACCCCCTTTGAACCCCCTCTTGATCCGTGCATGTTCTTTATTTGTTCTTGTTTGGGGAACGTAGAATCTCCAAATAAAATTATTTCATCTGCTTTGTAAATTATATTTGTAAATTATATTTCAAATTTCTGAACAAAGATAAAGAGTAGAATGATCTTTGAAAAAGAAAATATCATTTTAATGCTTTTAATGCTAATTTAATTTTCGGAAGGCATTCTTTTGAAAACATGTTATACCCATAGTGAAATTGAATGTGAAAACACAACATATTCGATGTCAAGTCCATGGTATGTGCACGCAGATTACTAAGACGATGGATCGTGGGTGGATGGGATAGACCCGATTTATTTTACTTATCTAAACGTTTACCATTTAAACTATCTATTAAAAGGCTGGACCGCCCTACTTTTTTTTTAAATAGTCAACTCCTCAAATTTTTTTAACAAAAGTAGTATTTTTAATAGTTGAATTTGACCTACCCTACCCCGAATTTCTAACGCATTGTTAGGTGCCTGGATTTAGACGATTGAGAATATGTAAAATATAATAATTTTATTTCAATTTTCTTGTTACAAACAAATACCACAGCAACCCGAAGGAAGGATAGCAAAACATAGGGTTGTAGTATTGAAGCTTAAGTTCTCTTACAGAGACGAACACACCAAACTGATCATGAATTTTCAGTGGTTTCTCTATCACAATTAACATATTTTTACTTCTTTTAAATAACATTTAATGATATATAATTTCTTTAGATCTGTTATATATCTTCACAATCCTTAACTTTATTTCAGAATACATTGAAATTTTATTCAAGTATCCATATACAAGTTTCTATATAATCATGTTTTCCATATAACAAAAATATCCTCTTTTTTTGTTAACAAATCTAGCACTGTACTTGCGAGAAATAATGTCGATTTTTGGTTTCTTCTTCCTTGCTTTTTTTTTCTTTCCTCAAGATTTTTTTAATTACTTCAAGAACAAAACAAAAGCAAAAATAAAATAAAATAAAATAAAAAAAAAAATAACAGAACGAAAATAAAAAAATAAAACAAAGCCCAGACTTTTTATTATATCTGAAGTAATCAATAATCATAAATTATATCCATTTTTATAATTACATTTAACCATAAATTCTGAGCGATCGAAATTAATATTTTGATATATTTTAAAATTACTACAAGTTAATTTCTTTTTTACGGAATAAAAAAAACTATTTAAAGACATTAATTTACCTTAAGGTTTTCTATTGATGTATTGAAAAGTAAGTAAAGAAGCCAAAACATGTAATTATCAAAAGCTTCCTGGTTCATTTTAGCTTTGTAAAAATAGCAACGGATTTTCCCCTACTGGAGAAAAAAAGAGACAACTCATTAATGTGTCCTATTTTTAACAATGATGCGTTTTATTTATCTTAAGAAAAACTCTCTTTAAAAAGTCAAATGTTTCAACAATCATTTTGACTTGTTATAAAGAAATGATTTTGAACACAAAGATTACCATCTTATTCTTTTAAAATTGACGAATCATTTGAGTTAAATAATCTTGAAAGGGACGTTAGAAGAAAAATATCATGGATAGCCTAACAGTGTCCTACAAGTAATGGAAGTTGTAGTATACCACACTTCATTTTTACCAGACCCATTTCCATATCTGTACCTTACATGTACCCCCCCCCCAAAAAAAAGGGGGGGGGGAAATAGATAGATAATGTACGTACATTTTAATATCGAAACAAACAGTGTATTTTAGAACAAAAAAAAGGGGGGGGTAAATAGATAGATAATGTACGTACATTTTAATATCGAAACAAACAGTGTATTTTAGAACAAAATAAGTTGGGGGAAAACTTGGTGATTAAGTTTCCTTTGCACTGAAAATCACAAAAGAATGGATGTACATTTAAAGAATCCTGAATTGAAGCCTTAAAAACCTTCGTTTTTTTCTTCAAATATATAACCATTTGCTTAAATATATGCATGTCTTCTCGATACAAATATTTTTCTTAAAAAAACTTTCAAGAAATAAAAATAACTAAAACTGTAGGTCATGAGAACCGTAGATTTCAATATTTTTTAATCGACGGATTATCAGCTTAATTAAAAATCTGTTGATTTTTTAAAAAATAATTTCGAGAATTTTACAGACTAATTTATTTGTATATTTAACATAGATTTTACGAAATAATAATGTGAAATTTATTGTAACTTTTATTTTTACTTTTTTAGATTTGTCTTACAGTATAGCCATGTTCAACGATGGACATGATTAAAGGACGCGAGTATGTTAAGGAAGCATATGATTCATTGCTAGGGAAATTTAGACTTTTTAAGAAAATTAAGTTTAAAAAATTATCAAAACCTCTTATGAACGTAAACTGTTATTAACTGTTGCATACAGATAAAAGAGTGTCTGACGCAAAGACGTGAACCAGCGCCAAGGCATCACGTGACTTCTATTAATAGCGAAATTGTCCTTAATAAAAAAGCTAACAGTACAACAATACCCCGGGGTATAATAATTTCTTTGAGTAAATGATATAGCTGAAAAACATCTATTTTGCCTAAAAAGTGCTGCTAGAATCCCACTGTCCTGTCCGTAAAAAAATATTCTACACATTCGCACGAAACCTTACCCTATGTTTTGAATTTTATACATACGAACCGAGATTTTCATAAAACCATGCCTAACACGGGATTCTAGCAGCACTTTCCTTGTTTGTCAGAAGGCAGACTTTCCAACTATACAAATCTTATGTTTTGAAATATCCAGCTTATTGTTGTTCTATTGCAATATTTTTGACAAGAATGACAGAGGAAAGGCCGACCGGGATACGTATATAGCTGACTGTCTTTGAAAGAGAATATAATCGATGAAAATAAATTAGCATACCTGTATAATTAACTGAACTCCATTTAAAATTCACACAATATTCACGTTATTTTCTTTTAAACTCCATTTTACGTATCTTTGTACAAACCGTCTAAGGCGTGTGTTGCTAAAAAGCGGAACGGAAAACGGAACGGAACGGAAAACGGAAAATATTATTTGAGATTAAATCATTTAAAACATTTAAATTTCTCAAAAACGCTATTATTTTATACATATTTAATCCCTCCATGATCAATACAAGTTTAATTAGTCATTTTAAGTCTCTTATGACATAGCTCCAATTTCTTTCAGCATTATTTTCTTACACTTACTGACTACTATTAATTTAACAGACAGAAAGTGTTGGAGATTTCAATGATCAATTCAATAGTATAAAGGTTATGTCTGGAAAACAGTTGGGGGATAATTGTTATCTTTATAAATCATGATAATTGGTAAAAAAAAATAAAACGTAAAAAAAAATCTTCTTTAATAAGATTACTATTAGAGCACGCCTTTCCCACAAGCCCGGATAACACTTCGATTGTAAAACTGGTTTTTAAAATTTTATACAAGTTAGAGTCGCTTCCTATCAATTAAAATCTTGGATAGATGGAGTTGTAAATCTTTACTGTAGTAAAATTAATATATCGTCCATACGTTTAATTAAGTTATTAAAGTGAGTTTACTTTTTTTTTGGGGGGGGGGGAGGGGATGGCGGTGTATGACCCAATAAAACGTATTTTCTTATTTGCAGCCATTTATATTTGAATTTCTCAATATGCATATCATATGCCACTCATGGATTTAAAGGGGAGAAAGACCCCCTTCCTTTCTGTGACCAATATATGTGTGTGACTAAGGGAACCTCAAACTGCCCCCTCCCCATTTCAAGATTCCCGGATTCGCCAATGTATGCGGCATAATCTGTACACCAGTATGTCAAAGCTAGATTTTTTGTCTTTACCGATACATGTATGTATACATACTACTAGTCTTTTTCCTTCCGTCTTTTTCAATACAAGATTTTTTTAATTATAAATAAGCATTCTCTAAAAATGATTTGAACGAAACATTTGAGAGATGGATACAACTGTAGATCACTAAATTTTCGCGAGATTGTCATTGACTCTTGGTAAGCGAGGCATAATTTTCACGAATAGTTGTCATTCCTCTATATAATCGTAAGGAATACTTTTATACGCGAGAATTTGAATTTCGCCAACGCATAATTCCGCGAAAATAAAAAGTGATTAACATAAGTTAGTACATCTAAATCACAGTATGTGTTTTATTGACCATCGCATGTACATGTTATGAGAGGAGCATAATTCACAAATATATCATATTTTTTAACGTTAATTTTTCATTAAATATGACTTTTATATCATGAATATTGCTTTTTATGTCTGATTCATTTCGAATCAAGGTTCTTTCTTTGACATTTATTTTCCATTTTCCGTTACGTTCCGCTTTCCGTTCCGTTTTCCGTTCCGCGTTTTAGCAACACCCGTCTAAGGCAAATTCTCTTTACACGACATGATCAATTCCCAAGTTACTTGAAGTACACATATGATGTCATCGGTGGTTGATTGTAATCAAAATGAGAGATACCAGTATATCAAAATAAAAACATTTTATGTTTGTTAATGTTCACATGCTTCTATTTTTTTCCAAAATTTAAATTATATCTCTAAATACCAATATAACAAAAACCTTGTGTTATCAAATTGACGTCATCTCGCCTACTGTGACATCATAATGTAGCACTGATTTAGTAAAGGTAGAATATTTTGTATGCTTCCTTATCACCCCTGCGAAATTAAATTTTTTGTCCAAAGTTGTGTTATTTTTTTATCATCATGAACAATATGGTAGAAAACATATAAGAAAGGTCTGTAAAGGATATCTTAGGCATTTAAATAAGTTATAAATACTGAAAGGAAATAAGAAACACGT